GGCCATGGTCAGCAACATCTTCAGCTGTGTGCTACGGTAGACCTGGCGGTGTCGTTACAGGATCAGGCATTAAAAGACCCAGCCGTACCTCCCCTCCGTTGGGCTTTCATACTACATGGGAGAGATCTGTCTGCGGCGACAGAAACGGCCGTTCAGGAAGCTCGACCAGATCAGGACACGACAGCCCTTGAGCACGTCATTACAGTAGCTAATCGCAGCCCCGAGGTTGTTGTTGTGTTGGACGGTCGAGGCCACATGTCAGCTTGGGGTCTCGAGAACGTTGGATCGAGGTCACAAAAGTGCAACATCTTTAACGTCGCTCATGTCACATCGCCAGAACTCGACTTTTTGAAGGGTGTCACAACAAATGTGCCTCATGTCGAGGCCTACAGTTACTGCAATGCTGGGATTCACCTGCACGTCTTGCTACACTTCTTTGACGGCAGGGTAGAGGTCTACCGAACCAACATCGCCACACTGTTTGATCCAACTCCGCAGACTAGGCGATTGAGCTTCAGGTGCCTGTGGACCGGTCACTCTGCTCCCGTAAAGAAGATTGTCCGGAACTATAGCGGCCGTGCTATTGTGTCGCGAACAGACTCAGGCCAAAGCATCGTCTGGAGACATGAGCTCAACGACAAGAGGACTGGGCTTTCTCAGCAGGCAGCCATCGACCTGGATAGCCATGTCCATCGAATGTTACTCATCCGTAAAGGCCGCTTTGTCCTGTACCTTCGACAGAAAACAATCTCCCTTTGGGATTGTCGCAAAACGAATCCTGTGTTGCTATCAGAAGTAGACTACGATGTTCCAGGCAAGCCACTTTGTCTGCTCATTCTTCCAAGGCAGCATATAGAAGATTATACGACCGCCCATGTGGCCACCATAACATCGGAGAAGCAAGGCATTGTCTGGGAAGTCAAGCTGCCTTTTTACAAACCACAAGAAAACGTCCCAGCCGTCAACGGCATTGGGTATCACCAAGAGGGTACGGTCCGGGAATTCACCAAATTTGAACTCAAGGATGCTGGTGATTTGGCATATGTTCTTCCTGTGGATCCCGCCGGCTCTTCGCCTGTGGTGTCTGGGTTCCTGGACGTCTTCGCTGTCGACGTTGCCATCTCCTACACGCACTCTGGAAGAGTCGAATTCTGGACAGCCAGGGTAGATCAAGAAAAAAAACACGTCGAGTGGCTTTCCACGAACTCCATGGAGACAGGCCTGTCTAATCCAATATTGGTTAGCGGCAACAGCCTGAAAAAGGCAGCCCTCGTCGACTCGACTCGATCCGAACTCACAATCTGGGGTATTCGGGGCGGCCGCCTTGAGTATTCTCAGGATTTTGAGAACCATAACACTATCCGTGACCTTGACTGGACTTCAACTCCCGATGGCCAGTCCATTCTAGCCGTCGGGTTCCCCCATCGGGTGTTGCTACTTTCACAGATGCGGTTTGACTACCTCAACAAGGGACCCGCCTGGGCACCAATCAGAGAAATCAGCACCCGCATCCTCACACCCCATCCTATCGGCGACTCGACCTGGCTGGGCGATGGGCATCTTGTCATTGGTGCTGGAAACCAGTTCTTTGTGTACGACAGGCACTTTGATGTATCAAGTTCGCTCATCACAAGCTTGAGGTTACCGCATCTTAAAGGTGGAAAGTGGGATCTGTTCGAGGTAGTGCAGCGGTTGAACGGCCCGTTACCAGTGTTCCACCCACAGTTCCTGAGTCAGTGTATTCTTTCTGGAAAGATCGCTTTGGTCCATCGGGTGTTGCTGGCGCTTCACAAGACGCTCAAGTTCTGGGTGGAAGGCGAGACAATTGACGATTATTTGGGCCTGCCTCTTGAGGATTTTTGGTCCGGCGAGTATACGGACAATCACACTGGACACTCTTCAAGGAAACAGAAGAACGATGCTGGGGACTACTTTTCCGGTGACCGGAGTATGTCATTCGACGACGGGGACGAAGAGGTTTTCAGCGAAGAGGTGGCGATGAAAATTGGCGAGAAACTGACGGAGATTGGCCTGCAGCAGCTCTCGCGTCGTGAACAAATTCAACTCGTAGATATCGTGGAATGCGTGGGACTAGTTGAGAAACAGAGGAGGTCGCTTGATGAGAACGGCGCCAGATTTATGCTTTTTTATCGACAACATGCGCTACGGAAGAGGAGGACAAACGAGAATCACATGTCGTGGAGGGAGATTGCATGGGCATACCATTCGGGTAGCCAGGATATTCTGCTGGACTTTGTGTCAAGACAACATCATGGTCCAATGCTATGGGAGGATGCCAGGGAAGCCGGTATCTTTATGTGGTTGACTGACCCTGCTGCTGTGGTAAGCTTATACACTCCAAAAAGTCTGCCGTCTGGCGTTGTGCAATGCTAACATGCCATTTACTCACTACTAGAAAACCCAGTTTGAAATCATTGCTCGTAATGAGTACAGCAAGAGCGAGATGAAGAATCCGGTAGACTGCAGTTTGTTCTATCTGGCACTTAGGAAGAAAACGGTTCTCCAAGGCTTGTGGCGAATGGCTTCTTGGAACCGCGAGCAAGGCGCAACGCAGCGGTTCCTGGCCAACAACTTTGACGATCCCAAGTGGCGGACGGCGGCCTTGAAGAACGCGTATGCGCTCATGAGCAAGAGGCGGTTTGCGTATGCTGCTGCGTTCTTCTTGCTGGCCGACCACTTGCAGGATGCGGTCAATGTCTGCTTGAATCAGCTTAAGGACCTACAGTTGGCCATCGCGATCACAAGGGTATATGAAGGAGATCACGGACCAGTCCTGCGCAAGCTGCTCGAGGAGGAAGTGTTGCCCATTGCGGCGAAAGATGGCAACAGATGGCTGGCCAGTTGGGCGTTCTGGATGCTGCATAGGAGGGACATGGCGGTGAGGGCGTTGATAGTGGGTTTCTTTTCTTTCCC